GGCTAGATTCCGGGTGGCGGGCACCCCGTAGAGAAGACAGATGCCGTATTATAAAGTTGTATACCTGAAATTTAGATACAGTTATTGACCAATGTTACCCCAATACATTTAACATAAAAAAGAAAGAGACACATCCTGTCTGCTTCCACTTGCATTGGGCCCTTAGGAACACGAGATTCAGAGACAGAAACGAGAAGGGAGGCCCAGGGCCTGGGGGAGGGGAGCGGGCGGCTGTCATCTCTGGGTACAGAGCGTCGGTTGTGCACGGTGAGAAGCGATCTGGAGATGTAAACGCAGAGAGCAGGTGCTCTGTGGGGTCTGGCTTCCCTCACTCTGTGCTTTAAAAAGTCAAAAGTGTCCATCATTCATCTGCTCCTTCGCATTGCGAAACAATATGCACGGGCGTATCACCATTTACCCACTTACCTGTGGGTGGACATTTTGGTTGTTTCTAGGTCCTTGGCAATTATCCTATATAATAAAAGGCTAATATGCAAATTGACCAAATGGCAGAACTGATCGCTATTATGTGCACTGACCTCCAGGGGGCAGATGCTCAATGCAGGAGCTGCCCCCTGGTGGTCATAGACTCCTGCGGTCAGCCAGAAACCGGGCTCACGGCTGGCGAGTGTAGCAGAAGTGGCGGGAGCCCCTCACACCTCTGTAGCAGCTCTAAGGATGTCTGACTGATGGCTTAGGCCTGCTCCCAGACACCCCCAAATGGCTCTCAGACTGCGAGAGGGCACAGGCCGGGCTGAGAGACCCCCCCCACCCCGGTGCACAAATTTTGTGCACCGGGCCTCTATATATATGAAAGCCTAAGCAACTGTTACAACTGAACAACCAGAACAACCGATCGGTCAGTTCTATGACATGCACTGACCACCAGGAGTCAGACGCTCAACACAGGAGCTGCCCCCTGGTGGTCAGTGCGCTCCCACAGTCAACCTCCCCGTCGGCAAACCTCCTGTGGTCCCTCCCTCTTCTCTCCCCCTGCCTGGCAGGCCCCGTCTGGCAGGCCCCAGCCAGCAGCCAGCAGCTGGCAGCCGGCATTCCCTGGCAGGCCCGGCCCCGATCGGGACTGGGCGAGATGGCCCCAATAGGCCCTGATTGCTGGCCAGGCCTAGGGACCCCAACTGTGTACAAATTTCATGCACTGGGCTTCTAGTTATGAATAAAATTGCTGTGGACATTTGTGTACAAGTCTTTTAATCTTGGCTAAACACGTAGGAGTGGAATTAAATCATATGCATAACTTTATAAGAGGTTGACAAGCTGTTTTCCAAAGTGGTTTTACCAAACAATGCTACCACCAGCAACGTATGAGAGTCCCGGGTGCGCCACATGCCTAGCAACACTTGCTATTCTCGTGTTAACGTTTAGCCCTTCTCGTGAGTATGTGTGGCTTTAGCTGGCACTTCCTGATGCCCAATGATGTGAAGCAGCTTTTCGTGTGTTTATTGTATTGCAAATACTGTCTTCAAGTCTGTGACTTGCCCTTTTATTTTAACAGCGTCTTGACAAAAGTAAAAGTTTTTGACTTTAACAAAGTCCGGTTTTCCAATTTTTTTTAATGGATCATGTTTTTTGTGTCTAGCTAAAAATTCTTTGCCTACCCCAAGGTTTCAGGGATATTTTTCTTATATGTTCATCTACAAGTTTTATATTAAGGGATAGGACCCATTTCGAGTAATTTTTCATAGGGTACAGGGTAAACATCAAGATTCCCATTTTCCATGTGGCTGTCCGTTTTTTCCTGAACAATTTGTTGAAAAGAGCTTATTTTCCCCAAACTGAGTTGTCCTGGCCACTGTGTCAAAATGTATTGCCTATATATCCGTACTCTCGATATTGTTCCACTGATCTATATGTCTGTCTTTATACCTACACCCCACTGCCTCACTTACTACAGGCGAATATTAAATCCTGGCATCAGACAATGTGATTCTTCCAACCTTGTTCTTCATTTTCAAAATCATTTTCACTCTTGTAGGCTCTTTGCATTTATAAACTTTAGGATCAGTTTCTCAATTTCTACAAAGAACCTGCTGGAGTTTTAGTTGGGATTGCATTGATTCTACAAATCAATTTGTAGATTATTGATATATATATATATATATATATATATATATATATATATATGTCACATGGTCTATCTACCTATTAATTTACATCTTTAAAATTTTCTCTCACCCTGACCGGTTTGGCTCAGTGGATAGAGCGTTGACCTGCGGACTCGGGGGTCCCAGGTTCAATTCCGGTCAGGGGCACGTACCTTGGTTGCGGGCACATGCCCAGTGGGGGGTGTGCGGGAGGCAGGTGATCGGTGTTTATCTCTCATCAATGTTTCTAGCTCTCTATCCGTCTCCCTCCTTCTCTATAAAAAATCAATAAAATATATTTTTTAAAAAATTTTCTCTCAGCAATATTGTGAAATTTTCTGTACATATTTTAAGATATCCCTGAGCACTTTATGGTTTCAGAAACTATCATAAATGGTATTTTACTTGAATTTTCAGTTGTTCATTACTAGGATATAAAAATGTAATTGGCTTTTGTATAGTGATCCTGTATCCTGCAGCCTCACCAAATCAGTTGTCCCCAACAATATTTTTGGTAGATTCCTTAGGGTTTCCTATTTGCACGATCATGCTGTCCATGAAGAAAAGTCGCTTTCCTCTTCCCAATATGGACGCCTTCGATTTCTTCTTCCTGCAGCCCTAGGGCTGCCTGCGCCACCTGAATAGGACAGGCGAGGCGCCCTTGTCCTGCTCCCAGTCTCAGGGAGGAGGCGGTCAGCGTTGCCCCAGCGGGATATCAGCGGTGCGAGGGTGTTTTTGTAAATGTCCTTCCTACGTTGAGGCAGATCCTTTCTGTTCCCCGGTGGCCGACGGTCCATGAATGGGCACGAAGCTCCGTCAAAAGCCTGGTGTCTTCTGAGGGTGTGCGTCTGTGGAGCTGCTGTGCATGAGTTAACCCAGCAGGCCTGCGACCGTTAACCTTTGTGAGGTGGGCCTCGGGCTGCCATCCGAGAACTTTGGGAGGGTCCCCACCCCCCTAAACTCAGGGGCGTGGCTCGCGGTGCCCAACCCGTTTGTGCAAACAGCATGGTTCAAGCTGCGCAACCGATTCCCTTCTTGGCGTCTGGAATGTGTGCCAAGCGGAGGTGGCCTATGAGACCGGCCCCAATAAAAGCCCTGGGTGGAGTCTCTAATGAGCTTCTCTGGGAGCCAGCAGCTCACGCCTGGGTCACGCCTGCTGCTGGGGAGCCAGGCGCAGGGAGAGGGCGTCGGGAGCTTACACCTGGTCCCGGCCAGACCTCACCTCCTGGCTGATTTTGCTCTATGTCCTTTTGCTGTGTGAACCTCAGCCATAAGTGTGCCTGTGTGTGAGTCCCGTGAGTCTCAGGGAATGCCTGAATCTGGCGTGGGGACGGCCAACAGAAATAGTGCCCAGTTTCCGCCTTTATCCTGTGTTATATTAACTGACTTTGACAATTAAACAGTCTTGAATTCCTGGAATAAATCCACTCAGCATATTACCTCTCTATGTGGTATTCTCTCTCTATGTCTATCAACGGGTAGAGTTATTTATAATGTTATATATAATTATTACATAAATACGTATTATATGTTGTTACTTATATTTTGTTAACACATTAAGTATTTTGCATCTATATGAACAAGGGACATCGACCTATGATTTTCTTTCTTTATAATAATTTTGACAGATTGGGGTAATACCTGTCTCATAAAAAAATTAGTTTGAAAGTGTTATTTCTCCTTCTATTTTCCAAAATATTTGTGTAGGATGGGTATTAGATCGTTTTTAAACATTTTATAGAATTCTCCAATGAAGCCATCTGGGCCTGGTATCTTCCCTGTCAGCAGTAAAATGGCAAATTTAATTTATTTAATAGATATAAGGCTATGAAGGCTTTCTATTTCTTCTTGAGTCAATTTCAATAATGTGTAACTTTCAAAGAATTTGTTTCATCCATAAGTTGTCAAATTTAATCAGTTGTACTGATTGTTCAAAATATTCCCTTATAATCTTTTTGGTTGTAGGATTCATGGTGACAGCCTTCTTTCATTCTTGATATTGATATTTTGTGGTTTTTATCTTTTTTTTCTTAATCATTCTGGCTAGAGGTTTATTGATTTTATTAACTTCTTTAAATAACTATTGGTTCCATTGATTTTTTTTCTATTGTTTTACTATATTCTATTTTATTAGTTTCCACTTTTATCTTTACTTGTGCTCGTGTATGGTTTAATTTGCATTTTGTCCCCTAATCTCTTAAGGTGGAAACTTAGATCATTCATTTTAAAGACTTTTTTTCGTAATATATGTATTTGATGCTATTAACTTCCCTCTAAGCACTGCTTTAGCTGCATGTCACACATTTTGATATATTGTGTCTTTATTTTCATTCAGTTCAAAATATTTTCTAATTTTCGCTGTGATTTCTTCTTTCGCTCATGGGTTATTTAGAAATGTACTTATTTTCCTGACATTGGGAGATTTTTCCAGAGCTTTTTCTGTCCTTTGTTATTGTTTATTTGCTTAATTTGAGCTGAGTTCCAGGGCAAAGGGTTGTTAACAGTTGGTGCTGTCCTTGGCTGGACGCCTCCCGGACACACTATTGCCTTTACTGAGCCAGCAAACCTTTTTGTGCTGTGTCTACCGCAAAGGTCTATTTCAGATGTGGGTTCTGAGTTGATGAAATCTTCATACTCATGTTGCCATTTAATATTGTAGACTTAAAGCAAAAGCAGTCATTAATTTTAAGTTTCAACACTTGGGCCCTTGTGCTTTATTAAACTTTTGGACTTTAACCCATGATTAGATCATTTCATTTGAACCTAAAAAAAAACAAGCAAACAAAACACACACACACACACACACACACACCCCCCAAGATCTCTGAATCGGTGGAGCACAGAGAATGTTATGGCAACGAAGCTACTCTGCAAACCCTCAATGGTGGCCCAGGCCTTGGCACATTTGTCCAAACCCTTAGAATTCACGGCAGCAGAGTGAACCCTGATGCACACTGTGGACTTTGGGCGATGAAGGTGCGTCCACGCAGCTCATCGACTGTAACAAAGGTACCACTCCGGTGCGGGGCGTGATAGCAGGGGAGGCCGTGCCCACGTGCGGGCGGGGCGGACCGGGGAACTCTGCACTTTCTGCTCAATTTCACTGGGAACCTAAAATAAAAATAAAGTCTTTTTTTTAAAAAGTAATAATAAGATCTCATGCCATTCCTAGTGCTGGAGTAATGTTTACCACTATTTTCACATTTGTTGCTGCTACTAAATTACTTTAGTTTCTCTAAATTGCTTTAGTTACATGGTTTCCAGTGTGACTTTTTAAATATGTTTTTATTGATTTTTAGGAGAGAGGAAGGGAGATGAGAGAGAACCCTTGATGGGTTGCCTCCTGCATGCCCCCTACTGGGGATCAAGCCTGCAACCCGGGCATGTGCCCTGACTGGGCATTGAACCCAGACCTCTCGGTCCCTAGGTCAGCGCTCAACCCACTGAGCCACACCAGCCGGGCCAGCGTGACTTTTTAAACTCCCCCTGACACTTTAATAAGCTTGACCAGGTGGCAGTAAAACTGCTCAGAGGGAGCCTGTGTTATTTTAGAAATGGAGCCCTTCAGGACGCCATCCAGTCCCCGGGGTGTGAGTCAGCGACTCAATTAATCTGATCTTAAAGGAAAAACACCCCCGTCCCCGGCCACCGGCCGCCCTCCCCGCGGAGGGCAAGATCAGCCCCATGTGCTGGCGGCGGCCCCTCCCAGCAGCGCGGGCGCTGGGTGAGTAACAGCAGGCCTGAGTCACGAGGGCTGAGTGACACACGGTGAAAAATCAGTGCCTTTCAGGCAGTTCCTGTTGCCTAATATGGACTCTGAGCAGATGCTCTAACTCCGGGGCCCCACCTGTGACCCAGAGGAACGCTTCCCTGCAAGGTGTCGGCCGATTTCCCGGTCCCCGCCCAGCGCACCCCCTGACCAGCGCGGGCCGTTCTGCTGGTTTTGTTTTCTGTTCTGTGTGGAAGCATCGCGGTCCAGGTTGCCCTTCCTCCCAGGGAAAGCTCCCCCCACCCCCAGCCCCCCCACCGCCGTCATGCAGGTGCCGGGTTTGTGGCGTTAGGAAGCAGGGACAAGGCCCCGAGAACAGGGGGCTCCTGAGTAGGACCTGGAAGGTGGGGCCGCTCCTGGGATAGGGCTTTCCCAGCATCACCACTGCGACCTCTCAGCCCAGAACGGGTTGGGGGGTGGGGGCAGGGGCGACGGCGCAAATGATCTCCATCGCCAGCCCCCTCGGCTCGGAAAGGGGGAAGTGGGACAGGGCCTCCTCGTCCTTCCAGGAGCAGAGACGATGCAGTTACAGATGACAGCTTCAGAGAAGTGAGTCAAGCGTGGAAAAAGCCATAAGGAAAGGAGGCCCTTTCCAAGGAAGTGACAGCAGATTCGCAAACGGAATGACTCACACGCTGCTCTCCAACTGCGGCTGAGTCACTAGCAAGCCCTTAAACCTCCCGGCCCGAGTCCTCCTTCAGGAATCCACGCCGAGTCTCCGCATCCCCGATTCACCGGCCTCGCGTAGCCTCCCCGAGGCCCGAGCCAGTCACCGTCTGCAAAACACCCCTTGGAAGTGCTTGCTGAAAGGCCTGACTCAACCCCAGGTTTCTCCTGAGTGAATCAGGAGTCTGGATGGTAGAAACAATTATAAATGCATTAGAAACAGGCGCTGATTAAAAATATAGAGATGGCGCCCGGCCAGTGTGGCTCAGTGGTTGAGCGTCGACCTATGAACCAGGAGGTCTGGGCTCGATTCCCGGTCAGGGCACATGCCCCGGTTTGGGGCTGGATCCCCAGTAGGGGGCATGCAAGAGGCAGTCGATCAATGAGTCTCATCATTGATGTTTCTATCTCTCTCTCCCTCTTCCTTCCTCTCTGAAATGAATAAAAATAAAATATATATGGAGAGGAATGCCTTCTAGCAGAAACCTGTATTTCTGAGCCCTTCTTTAGGAGGTGGGTCCCTTGAAGGAGGACATTGAACACCAACCGCGGAAGGAGGAAGCGGCCTTGTCCGCACGTCTACCAATTAAGGAGGAAATGTTCAAAGTAGACAGCCACCAGATGGCTCATTATAGAAAAGCCATTAACAATAGCTGTGGCTGGGTGGTTCAGTGGCTAGAGCGTCGTCCCGTGCACCAAGGGGTGGCGGGTTCGCTTCCCAGTCAGGGCACATACCTGACTGCAGGATCGATCCCTGGTTGGAGCCCATACAGAAGGCAACCGACCAATGTTTCTCTCACTCCCCCTTCCTCTCTCTAAAAGCTAATAAAAACAAGTCCTCAGGTGAGGATTTAAAAAAAAATTTAACAACAGGTGGAATTCTCTGGAGCCCGGGCCTGAATTATGCGGCCTAAGAGTCTAGACTCGGCTGTTTCGGAACCAGAAACGAGTGGGTGACCCAGGGATGGTCCCAGGAAATGGTGACCCACGTCCACTCCAAGACTCTAATCATCAACGTCGGGACCAGCCCAGACTTCCTCCGCGCGGGTTCGAGAACGAGTGGCGGGGATCAGCGGTCGCCTCCGGAAGCTCGGAGACAGGGAAGGAGATACGACGTCAGATTTAAGTGTCAGGAGACTCGGGCCCCCCCCCCCCCCCCCCCCGCCCAATACACACACACACACCCCCTTTGCAGAGGGCAGTGTTGCTGTCGGCCTCAGGGAGGTGGAATATAGATAGACAGTAATCATTGCCCTGGACCATGCAAACCTTATGGGTTTTACAACGCGCCTGAGACCCTCCTAACCTTTGCCAGCTGGGTGTCCACGGGACAGCCGCGCGGAAGTGAGACCCCACGGCGGGAAGGGGGCGCGACAGGCCCGCTGGGTCTCGTCAGGGGATTTCCGATCCGGCTCAGGGCAGAGGCTAAGTCGTTCCCCGAGGCCTGGAGAGGGGTCCGTCTGGGGGCACGTCCCCAGGGGGCTGCCTGGTAGAGCGGGAGGACGGAGTTGACAGCCAGAAGACCTGGCTGCCGGTCCCCACGCTGCCACTTCCTGGGATGAGGCTGGGGAAGGTACCCACCCCCTCTGGGCCTCGGCTTCCGCTTCTGTAAAAGGTGGGCAAGCAAACGGCCTCCCGGGGTGGCCGCTGAGTAAGGGGAGACGAGGAAAAGCATGTGTGGGCCCCCCGGGGTGTGGAGCCAACGAGAATCCTACAGCTACTGGGACGCAGTCTGCTCTCTTTTTTAATCCTCACGTGAGCATGTGTTTTTATTTATTTTAGAGAGAGAGGAAGGGGGAGAGAGAGTGGAGGGGGAGAGGGGGAGGGAGAAAGAGGAGAGAGGGAGAGAGAGAGAGAGAGAGAGAGAGAGAGAGAGAAAGAGAAACATTCATGGGTTGCCTGCCATGCTCGCCCTGACCAGGGGTCGAACCCGCGTCCTAGCATGTGCCCTGACCGGGAATTGAAACGGAAACCTTTTGGTGAACGGGAGGATGCTCCAACCAACAGCCGCCCAGCCAGGGCTTGGCTCTCGTTCTTTTATGCTTGTGGTCACTCACGGTTAAAGTATGTAAAAATTCTCAATGATTCAGAGGAAAACACTTTCCAAGTCATTCTCGAGGATACGTTCTGAAGGTCACGTGTGTGAGGGCTGCCTTCCACATGAATAAACAGCTCTGCACACTCACCTGAGGTCCTTCCAGCTGCCTCAGAAGCCATCGCGTGTAAATAAAGATGCGTTACACCCCCGGCTGGTGTGGCTCAGTGGATAGATCGTCGGCCTGGGGACTGGGGGGTCCCAGGTTTGATTCTGGTCAAGGGCACATGCCCGTGTTGGGGGCTCGATCCCCAGTAGGGGACGTGCAGGAGGCAGCTGATCCATGATCCCCTCTCATCATTGATGTTTCTCTCTCTCCCTCTCCCTTCCTCTCTGAAATCAATACAAATACATTTTTTTAAAAAAGACATGTGTTCTATGTGTGTACAGAGCAGACTGTGTGTCCTGTGTCCTGAAAACCACGTCCCAAGCATCGCAAATACTCAAAACACCTTGATGAGAGGTGTGCTTACAACGAGGAGCTACGGGACTCTGATGGGTTCCTGCCTTCTCCCCGCTCCGCCTCATTCCCGGGGGAAACGCCAACCGTCCGACCGACCGTCCAACCGACCGACCGTCTGACCGACCGTGGGGTGAGCGCTGGCCCCTCCGATTTACAGCCTTTCCCTGCGAGCCACCCCTCAGGCCGCGAGCAGGATGCTCCGTCCATATGTGCCTTCCTTCTCCCCCTCGCCAGGCCGCTAAGCCAACTGAGGCTCAGAAGCCAGAGTCCCCGCTCCGCCGGGTGATCAGCGATGACGTGCGGGCACCAGTCCCGGTGGGAACCCACTGGTGTTTGGGGAGCCCAGGGGCTCCGCCCTCCCCGAGGCCTTGGTGGCTTGCAGGAGAGTGTGGTATCCAAACTGTAGGCTTCCTTTCCCCGCAAAGAGCCATCCTGCATCTGTGCCGGGGCCTGAAGAGCGAGTGGACGGAGTGGCTTCGGATGCGAGTGGAAGGGGCGTGTCGGGTGGAGCAGGGCGAGGGCAGTCACGGCTCACGCGCAGGCGAGCACGTATGTGCGGGACCTTTGCTCCCCCCCGAGCTGAGGGCTCACGGCTGACACCGGCCGGCGCCCACGCGGGAGCCAGACGCCTCCGCACGCTCAGAGATGAGGTGGGGTCAGGCGCTGGGCTCACCTGAACCGCAGCTGGAGTCCAAGGTCCCCGCCCACGGGCGGCCTCCCGGTGATAACTGCGGGCGGAGAGGGCGCCGGCCTCGCTTCCTGCCGCTTCCACCCTCAGACAAGCCGCCGCCGCCGCCCCTCACTCACCCGGGCGGGGGTGGCCGCTCGGGTCAGGGTCCCCACCCCGGGTGAACTTTCTTCTTTTTCTTTTCCCCAAATATGTGTTTATTGATGTCAGAGAGGGAGGGAGAGGGAGGGAGAGAGAAACATCAATGATGAGAGAATCGTGGATCGGCTGCCTCCTGCCCGCCCCACACGGGGGATCAAGCCCGAAACCCGGGCCTGTGCCCTGACCGGGGATCGAACCGTGACCTCCTGGTTCATAGGTCGACCCTCAACCACTGAGCCACGCCGGCCGGGCTAATTTTTTCTTTAAAACTCATCCTCGCCTGCCTCCCTGCGCTGTTATATCCCCGCTGATCTGCCCGCCAAGCCTCCACGTGTTATTTCACGTCTCCTGTCCTTCACTCTGCAGTGTCTCCTCCTGGCCGCTGGAGGACTGGGCTCCACAACGCCCTTGGCAGGGGGGCGGCTCGGCTGGAGACCTTTCGGACCCTCCGCTGCCGCAGACCCCGCGGCCGGCCTTCCAGGGTGGAATCCGGCCCAGACCTGCTTCGCCAGGTCTCCCCTGGAACTGCCCTGCCCCCGTCCAACGTCCAACGGGCGGCCCCCTCCCAGAACAGCCACAGGTCTCAGGCCCGGAGCCCCGGGACGTCCTCCTCTCCTCTCCTCTCCTCTGTGCCCATGAAGCCCCCCCTGACAGGTGTACCCCTCTGGGAGCCTCACCCAACCATCACTTGGGTTTCCTTACCCTCATCTTGAATGCACTGCGGGCCCCAGTCAGACGAGGCTGGCACCTTGGGGAGGGGGGTGTGCCCGAGATGTGGGCCCCCACTCTGAAGAGGCGGGCACCTTGGTGGGGGGTGTGCCCAAGATGTGGGCCCCCACTCTGAAGAGGCGGGCACCTTGGGGGGGGGGTGCCCGAGACGGGGGGTGGGCCCGCTCAGACGTCCGGTCCCGCGGACCCTCCCTGCAGGATTCCCCGCCCCAGCCTCGCAGCCTCCCTGGTTGCCATGGCGCCTGGCACACTGCCCGAGTTTACAGTCATTTCCCTGTTAGATTACAAGCTCCTTGGAATAGGTGGTGCTTTACTCATCTCTCATGCCCCACGCAGGACATTATCTCAAAACGACTGTCGAATGAACACGCTCAGCAGTTAGAGGCCCCATCAGAGCCACTGACCTCCTGACCCGGCTCACGGAGGAGCCGTCCGCCCTCCCCTCGGCCGGCACCACACCAGCCGCCCTGCGTCTTACGAAAAGGCCAGCCCGGCCGGCGTGGCTCAGTGATCGACCATCGACCTACGAACCAGGAGGTCAGAGTTCGACTCCCGGTCAGGCACATGCCCGGGTCACGGGCTGAATCCCCAGCGGGGGGTGTGCAGGAGGCCGCTGATCAATGGCCCTGTCTCATCACTGATGTCTCCCTCTCTCTCTCTCTCCCTCCCGCTCTGAAATCAATAAAAATATGTTTTCAAAGAAGTTCACGTGGGTTCACCTCGGTGTTCATCAGACGCTGTGCGAAATCCTGGGCGAGTTCGAGCTCTGTCAGATACAATCAAAGCGTCACAGGAGAGCACACGGCGCCTACTTCCATATGCCGGCCCTTCCCCTGGCGTTGGCATTACAGGCCGGCCGCGCCCGCCTTCTGCACATGCCCCTCAAACATGCGAGCTGTTCAGGTCAATGTCACACCTGAGCAGAGGGAGGGGGCGGGGGGAGGGGGCCCCGCGGGGTCTGCTGTCACACACACTCACTCCTGCTCCCTCCCCCCGCTCCCCAGCAGCTCTGCACGATCCCCGCTCGCAAACATCGGCCCGTCCTGAAATTGCACATCATCCCGCTCGCCTCTCATCTCCTTCCAGCCGCACAGCAGTCCCCTCCCGGCCGCCCACGGCTTTTCCGGTCCCCGGACCTTCTGGGCGCTAAAGTGCCATGTGTTTCTCGTAACCGTGACACTAATGGGTCACCCCCGCGTGTATGTCATGCCTGGTTCAAAGCCTCTCGGTGCTTATGACCGCCGGGTTATTAGCATGCCATTAATTGACATAATAATTCCATCGTGTAATCAGCAATTACACTCTCCACGGAGGAAAGCACAGCTCAGGAACATGAAGCAACCAGGCCCAGGACAGCACAAGGTCAAAACCCAGGGCCGCGCTGGACACACGGCGTCCCGGCCCGGGGCTGCACTCGCGAGGCCAAGGCCACACTTCCTTACCTGCCCCCGTGGCGAGCTCAGAAACATGCCCCGAGGAACTGGAACAGGCAGCGCAAAGAGAATGCCATCTCCTAACATAGCCCTGGCCGGTGTGGCTCAGTGGATAGAGCGCCGGCCTGCGGACTGAAGGGTCCAGGGTTTGATTCCGGGCAAGGGCACGTACCTGGGTTGCAGGCTCCTCCCTGGCCCAGGCCCTGGTCAGGGCATGTGCAGGAGGCAGCCAATCGATGTGTTCCTCTCACATCAATATTTTTCTCTGTCTTTCCCTCTCTCTTTCACTCTCTCTAAAAATCAATAGAAAAATATCCTTGGGGGAGGATTAAAATTCATTAATTTTGAAAAATAACATCTAATCCCCAGCTGCTCGGTTAGCTGAACAATTGCCATGCCTTCTTATGTCTCTCTGTCCGGGGAGACCTGTCCCTAACCCCTGGCATGGCCTTTCCCTCCCTCAGAACTCCTATGCGGCTGCCTCTCCGCGGCTCTCAGCTTTGGGTGCTGAGACACAATTCAGATCATGTCCCTGTTCAGATCAACCCCCCTCCCCGCCCCCTCGTTCCCCCCGCCCCCCACTCCCGGCCCCCGGCTCCCTCACCACTCGGAGCAAAAGCCAGAGTCTTCACTGCGAGGCCTCCCATGATGGGCCCTGCTCCCTCCAGGTCCTCACACCCAGCCCTGCTCCCCTTGCTCCCTCCATTCCCACCACGCTCGGGTGTTCCTCAGCACCCTGCTGCCCCAGGGCCTTTGCACACACTCTTCCCTCGGCCTGGAATGTCCCCCCAGATGGCCATGTGACTCACATGCTGTGGAGGCCTTTACTCAGGTACCCCTCCTCAGGGACCCCCTGCCGCTACCCAGTGTGCTCAGACCTGGTCCCTGCCTAACGTTTCCCCTGCTATTTGACACCATCCAACATGTTTTCCTTATTTGTCCTGCCTGTTGTCACTCACGACCCAGCACAGCAGCCCAGGGAACGCAGCGGAGTAGAAACACGCGTCTTGGGAGGGGGTCGATGTGCCGTCGTGACTAATCCCACCCTGGACCGAGCTCGCTGGCTCCTTCTGCTACCGCTGCGCACGATCACCAAGGCCCTTGTGGTTTGAATTACTTTAAAACTCGGAATACTGTGAATTTCCGGTGAGTCATTCCAAGGAACATGGTAGTTGTGGGGAATGAAGATGTTTCAGAGCAGCTCCGAGCGCTGCCGGCCCAGGGCCCAGCGAGAGGCCGTCCTGCTGAACTCATTTTCCTGCTCCGAGGACAGAGGCCGCCGGCCGGGCGCTGAGCGTGGCTGCGCTCGGTCCTTCCCGAGGAGGCCCCGCGCGCTAAGGGCTCCTTTAGAGGCTCCGGACGAAGCTCCTGTCCATTCCGGTTCATGTTTTTTATTTTTATTTTTTTTAAAAGCATTTCTTATTTTCAAGGTTAGAAGTGACTGTATTATACCAAAAAGGTTCTTACAAGTTACACAATGAGATTTTTAAAAAAGAGGAGAGAGAGAGAGAGAGAGAGAGAGATTTAAAAATAACACACCTACTCAACTGAAGTCAGCGTCACCGAGAGCGGCCACGGCGCGGCCCGGGGGCAAGCCATTCGGCAGCTGGGCCTGAGCTTTGCACTTGTTGGAGGTGAAGGGGCCGTTTCCTTGTTCAGACGCTGAATGTGCGCCCGACTCCGTCCCCGTGCAATCGGCGGGGGGGGGGGGGGGGGGGGGGGGGATGTGCATGGAGGGCTGGCACCAGGTGACTGGCATCACTTTGGTGCCACCATCCACCCCTCTGGGGGCAAAGCCCAGGCTGAGCGTCAGCTTCTGTCCCCAATTCTTCCCTGCTGGTCCCTCCCCGCGGCCCCCAGCCCCCAGCCCCCAGCCTCCAGCTCCAGCCCCCAGCCCCTGCCCCACAGCCCCCAGCCCCCAGCCCCCAGACCCAGCCCCCAACCCCTGCCCCACAGCCCCCAGCCTCCAGCCCCCAGCTCACAGCTTCCAGCCTCCAGCCCCCAGCCCCCAGCCCCAGCCCCCAGCCCCAGCCCCAGCCTCCAGCCCCCAGCCCCCAGCTCACAGCTTCCAGCCTCCAGCCCCCAGCCCCCAGCCCCAGCCTCCAGCCCCCAGCTCCCAGCCCCAGCCTCCAGCCTCCAGCCTCCAGCCCCCAGCTCACAGCTCCCAGCCTCCAGCCCCCAGCCCCCAGCCCCCAGCCCTCAGCCCCCAGCCCCTGGGACAGCTGCAAAACCCACAGTTTGCACTGGGCAGGCACGGTTTTACTATCAGGACTCCTGGCTTTGAAGATCCCCGCATTTCTCACAAGATTCGCAGGAAACCAATGAGATGATGATTGAGCTTCTTCTCAGAAAACGCTCTCTGGTGGCATCTAACGTATGTTAAATGCACTAACCTCCTCCCACAGCCCCCGCTTCTTCCTGCCCGCCCCCCCCCCCCCCAATGCCGCGGAGCAGCCGAGTGTAATACACGTTCAAGAAACAACCCCTGAAGGAGGGGTTATGGGATGGATTTCTCAACATTACATACCTTCAAGGACAGTTATCTTTCTATACAGAGAGTCTAGCTGTGTTTGGACACAGGTGTTCCCTTGTTTGTTTGTTTGTTTTTGCTGTTTTTAGATTTTTAAAATTGATTTTTAGAGAGAGGAAGGGCGAGCAGAGGCAGAGAGAGAAACATCGATTGGCTGCCTCCTGCTCGCCTCCTACCGGGGATCGGGCCGCGGCCAGGGCACGTGTGCTGACTGGGAATCGAACCGGCCGACTGTTGGTGCACAGGCCGATGCCCAACCACCGGAGCCACACCGGCCAGGGCTGGACACGAGCTGTTCGAAAAGGAGAACCGTGGAGAGGCGCACGCGGCAACAGCTACGGAGCTGAATTATTTTAAATCATGTAGAGTGCACGCGGCACGGCCATCGTAACACCAAGGAGCCTCCCATGGAAAAGGGCCGACCGCACAGGGGCCGGAAACCGCGCCTTCGCACCCCTGCCTTTCGGAAGCGGATCGCGCCGTTCATGCCACAGGGCGCCACGGACAACGGAAGGAACGCGCTGCGATCCACACCCTCGCGGGTGTATTTCAAAAACGTCCATGACTCCTGGACGTGAGGTTTCCGGAGAGCCCGAACCCGCCGAGGCTAGGAAAGCAGGGGGCCCGGCTGCCGGGGGCTGGAGCAGGAAGGACTGGGGGGGAGGACACAGGCTCGGGGCTGCCGGGGTTTGCTTTCCTCGTGGGCACACCTTGCCCTCTGGTTAGCGAGGGGCCTGCGGGAGGAGGGACACAGGCAAGTGTCCCCCGACCTGCTCATGGGGTGAAGGAAGCAGGAGGCACGGACCAGAGGCCGCTGGGTCTGGTTCCCGCGGGAGTCGGTGGCGATTCGTGGAAGAAGAGGGAAGGCGGCGCTTCGCAGGTGCGCGTTGCCCGCCCGCCGCTGCCCCCCACCCCCCAAGAAAAGGAAACACGAATATTTAAAATCAACCCAGATGTGGAGGAAACCTAACAGGAAATGCCAACAGCAGCCAATGAACCCGATTAGGAAGAAGTAACTACCGCCGGGAAGGAAAGACCCGCTGAGGAACTCGGGAAATAGCGCACGGCCGTGTACTTGCCAACGGAAGAACTAACTGTACGCAAATGCCGTGCTCTGGCTCGCAGCGTGGTGCCTCGAAGGGCTGGCTGGCAACCCTGAGGGCACTGCGTGTGCTGGGCTGAGCAAACCAGTGAATGTATTGTGGTCGTGAGAGCCATGCTGGTTACTGCTGAAGAGGGAAGCTACTGCTAGAGAAAGGGGCCTGGCCCTAGCCGGTGTGGCTCAGTGGATAGAGCGCCAGCCCGCCGACCGAAGGTCCCGGGTTCATACCTCGGCTGCAGGCTCCCCCCCTGCCGGGCCCTGGTTGGGGCTCGGGCAGGAGGCAACCGCTCGATGTGTCTCTCTCACATCGGTGTTTCTCTCCGTCTTCCCCTCTCTCTTCCACTCTCTCTGAAAATCAATGGGAAAATATCCTCGGGTGAGGATTTCCAAAAAAAGAGAAAGAAAGAAAGAAAGGGAGGAGCAGGTCCCGAATGCACACAAGGTGCGGAAACGGACTCCGAGTCCCAGCGTGAACTCTGATTTCATACCAACTCGCCCACGGACGGACA